GGGACACAGGTGACACTGGGGCGCATCTGCCTGGAGCATGGCAGCCGGAATGTGAATGCTGGTGTTCTGTGAATGGCCCTGGTACTTCAGCTCCCCGGCCTCAGCCTCCTTATTTGCAAAACGAGGCATCTCTATACTGGCTTTATATGCATGTGGCAAGTTTATGAAAGGCTCAGCTTTCACAGGAAATGGTGGCCTCTGCCTGTGGCCTCTTTCAGTCCTGGTTGATGAAGCCAAAAACAGTCCTTGTCCCTCAGCCAACACTGCAGCTCATACCCAAGGCTGTCCTGGTGCCCAGGTTCTGAGAACTGCCCCCAGGGCCTCCGCCAGCCCAGCCCGACCCCTCACCCCGAGTGAGTCCTGCATCCTCACAGCGAGCCAGCGATGCAGCTACCGTGGGTCGAACCCCCTTGTCTTCCTCTTCCCTCCCGCCCAGCAGGTCTCTGAGGCTGTTATCCAGTGGCCCCCAGTGGGCAGGTCCAGATGAGACCTCCTAGGCCCAATCATCAGGAGAATCGGGTCCCTCAGCCTAGGAGCTTGGTGACCAAAGCCATCATCAGGAAGAGCCGGTGGACAAAGATAGGAAACGACTCTCTTGCCTGGGCCCCCTAGACATTCCCCGTCTGATGTCATTGACTGAACCTAAGAACCTTTCCCCGTTTTATGGGCCACAGAGGGGCCAGGTGTGGCTTCAAAGGTCTCCTAGACATTAAGCTAATTTTCTTGTCCTGCTGACACTGAGTCGTCAGCGCCATCATCGATTGCCGCACTGGGTAAATGCAGTTCCCAGGCCTGTCTCAGAGTTTGAACCTTCAGATCTAGTGGAGCCAGAGAACCTGGGGAAGTCTTGCTTAAGTGATCAGTAGGCTGCATGTTGGAAACCAAGTCAGTCTTGATCACATTGAAGTTTGTGTGTGGAAACCTGCAGGTGTCAGGTGTGCGCATGTGCACTACACGTATGTTTTCTCTGGGCATGATGAAATTGCAAGAGATTGTTGTTTCATCTGCACTTTCCTGGATTGTTATGATTTATTATGATGTGTATGTCTTCTCTAATAAGCAAGTAAAACTACCAGGGCTTTGCTCTAGGCAGAGAAGAACAGAACTGTAACAAAGAAACACTGGACAGGAAGTAGGTTTGAGGCAGTGTGGACCTAGGGACACAAGGCCACAAATGAACCTGAGTCCACTCCCCCCGCAAGAGCCATGGCCATCTCTCCCTGGCACCCGGGCTTGACGCTTGGCGGCCTGCAGAAGGGTAAATGTCCCACCTCCCTTTTCAGATGGTCTCTTCTTTGCAAAGCCAGAGCTGAAGTGGCACCTGGGAGTCTGGCCTGGTGGCGTCAAGCCAGGAAGCTGGGCCTCCCTCCTTTCAGCCCCTGTCCCTGGGTCCTGGGCCTGGTGTACTCCCCCACCGGCTGGCTGACACCCTGGCTAGCCAGGCAGAGCTGGGATGGCGATTTTACAACATGGTTATTACTCTATTGCTGCCTAGTAAAGCCACCCTGGCCCCACAAACACTCCCCGAGAAGGCCAGACCCATCCAGAGAAATGGTTTCCTACACCTTTACAACGTGATGGGAAAAAAGGGGCCGTTGAATTTATGGAAACTATATAAAGTTTATGGAGTCTTGGCAGGCCAGAGGAGGACTGTCGGTAGCCTGGGGGCGGGTGTTTTGAAACAGAGAAGGCTGGGCCAGAGCGTCGGCCCCTGTCCAGACTCCAGACGTCGCCCCAAGATCCAGGCGTGCTGTGTGACCCCAGGGACTAGGAAACTGGCTGGGGGAGTGGCTGCTGGGGCTGCTTTTGGGGGCGATCTCCTGTAATCTCTGTGATTTTGCTATGGCGCTGTCCTCATTCTGTAGAGGAACTGGAGGAAAGGATATTTTGAAAGGCATGGAACTTGTCTGAGGTCACAGTGTGAGCCTGAGGCATGTGTGCTGGGGCAGCCTGGGGCGCTCGCAGTCCGGCGGCGCTCTGAGCAGTGCGTCCCTTTTCTAGGTCTTAAAAATGGGATCTTCATACTAGTTCAGTCTGAGGCATGTCTGCTCCGTGTCATTTGGCCTCATCGCCCCCAGATGACCTCCCTGATCGCTTCTGTGTCAAAGCCCAGGTGTGCAGGTTTGTCCAGAGGTTGGTGCCAAGTCAGGACAGGGCTTGAATGCACGATCTTTGACTTCAGGACCACAGCATCTCCATGTCCTCTGGCCCCTCTTAGGGCCCTGGAGGAGCCACTGTGGAGCGGGGAGGCCCCTCCTCCTCCCCGCAGGGCTCTGGCCACTCACCACTTGCTTCTTCTGGCACGAGGGCCTTGCAGCATCCACATCTTCCCTCTCCTGCCTGGTCGTGAATTCTTGGAGTGCAGATTCCGTGAATGCTTCACTCTCCATCGCTGATTGTGCCTACAGAGCCTGGCATCGTTCCCAGCACATAATAACCACTGCATAAGTATTAGCGGGGCGGGGGTGGCGTGGAGGGGTGGATAGATGGGTAGATGGGCAGGTGCACAGACAGAAGAGGGGGGGGTGGACGAACGCTTGGATGGAGAAGGTATGTGCAGACCAACAATCACCCACCTCCAAATTCACACCCTTGAGGGAAGTTAAAGCAGCAGTCTGACCAGGTTCTCACAGGCTTTTACTAAATGCACTTCTGTTCCGGGGTATATACTCCGCTGTCTGCAAGGCCAGGTGGGGAAAACCAGTCTGCATGTTTGAGTGTGTGTGTAAATGCTTTACAGTCCCCATAAAGTTGCTTAAAGACAGGTGGGGGTGCAAATATAAACGTGGGCAGCCTTTGGGGAGGGCAGTTTGGAAGTAGCTATTAAAATTTTAAATGTGCCTACCACTGAGCCGAAGCAGTTCCACTTTGGGTTGTGAGGGATGAGGACTGCATTCATGTTTGTGCACAGAGACCCACGGGCCCAGGCACGCGCGTGGGGATGCTTGCCCCTGTGTCACTCGCAACAGCGATAGATCCTTCGCCTCGGAGGCAGGCAGCTCTCAAGGGGGGCTGACGGGCTACTCCCCAGGCTTCCGGAAGTCTGTGACTATGAATCCTCCTGCAGCCTCCCATCGCTGCCACCTCCACTTCTTTTCTCTCTCTCCTTCCTCCCCACGAAGCAGCTTACTGGAATTAGATCTTTAATTCTTACACCCACTTGCTGGTGAGGGACCTTCCCTTTCAGAAAAGGAGAAAAATGAGAGGAAAGCAGTTACGAGGACAATTACTGTCTGCCAACTTTTCGATTAAAAAGATTCAAAAGTGTAATATTAAAATGTGATTTACGGAGGCCAAGAAGAGAAAGCACTGTCATCCTCCTAGGAAGCCCATAGCCTTTTTCCTCCTGCAGGAGATATTGGGCCTCATTTTCTGTGAGGTGTGAGATGGCATCCGTGGTATGCTCTTCCGGTATGTGGAAATCCAGACCTGGCGATTGAGGGGTAGCCCGGCTCAGCCCTTTTGGGGAATCTTCCTGAGAGGCATGGGAGCTGGAAGCCCTGGGAACTGTGACCTCTGCGGGGATGAGGTGCAGGTCCTCCAGGGGCTCCAGACGGCGCAGCAGGGAACTCTGGAGGGGCAGAAGCGAAGGAGCCCGCATCCCCGCTGGGCTCTGTCTCAGCTCTTCTCTGCTTAGCATCTTCATCTGAAAAATACGGATGATAACCCTGCTGATGGTACAGCCTCCGGCAAGCGTGACACCCCTCTGGCCCCACATGTCACATCTGGAGCTTGTCACAGTGTCTATCTGGGGTTGTAGCATAGGTCAAATTCAGTAGTGCCCTGGCTCGGCCTGGCTCGGCCTGGGCTGCACCACAGATGCTCCTGCCTTGCTGAAGGCACGGTTATTCCTGCGGGCGCCTTGGCACAGCAGCCAGGAGAGCTGCGACTGCAGCCCTGACCTTGCGTCTCCAGGGTGCTGGCCGACGTGGGGCCCGGCTCTGTCCCCCACCAGCCGAGGCCCTGGGCAGCCGCTGTTCTCTCTTAGCCCACTTTGCCCACCTGTGAAACAAGTTTCCACTTGGCAGCGCTGTTATAAAGCTTACAGATTCATAGAGGCAAACAGCCTTTTGTAGATGAGAAGAGGGTCTCGGGGTGGAGTGGAGGGAAAGAAAGGAAAAAAAGGTTACGATGTGATATGTACATATCCCTGAAATGAATGTATTTGGTATGTATCACATACATGTACTGACGAGAAGAAATAAATTAAAAAGAGAAATGGCCTCAGATGTTGGTGGTGCATGATGGGCCTTCACAGCAAAAGCTGCTGGCTAAGGAGCCCTTGTGGGTAACACCAGCCCCTGGACAAAGGAATCCGTTCCCGGCGTACGTCCCTCCACTCACTGTGGCTCAACAGCAGGTGTGTGCAGAGCTCTGCCTTCCGGGAAAGTGGGGAGACTTACCTGGCTCTAAAGAATTAGATACCAAGGAGGGATCAATAGCCATTGTGCCAGGAACTGTGCTGCATGTGGCGTGAGCCCCAGGCATCCTTATAGTGGGGGGTGGGGACCCATGCCAACGTGTCACATTCTTTCTACCATAGTCAGGCTCATCCAAAAGCCCCCAGCCTATTTCCTATTCCTTGACCTCATCCCAGCCTGCCTCACTGCCCTCTACTCAGCTCTTGAGACTTGTCTGGGCCACTGGGAGGTACCCAGCCCTGTTGTCTGAGGGGTTCGTGTGTGTGTGTGTGTGTGTGTGTGTGTGTGTCTGTCTGTCTGTCTGTCTGTCCCACCGCATCCCTGTACTGCTTATCCTGCATAGTTCAGGTGTCTGAAGCTTACTGTAGCTGCAGAGAACATTCGCTTGTGTGTGTCTGAACCCTTGGGTTATGCTGTGCTCCAGGGCTGGGGCTGCTGAAGCCTTGCCTGCCCCTCTGGGAAGGGCGCTCTCCAAGACTCTGTCTGCCATCTGCACGGCATCTCCCAGGGGAAGTGAGGGAAGGATTTTATATCTGCATCATCCCCAGCTATCACCTAATAGCATTTCTTTGTTTTCAGTTGAGAGGGAAAATGTGCAGAAGAGGACTTTTACTCGATGGATAAATCTACACCTTGAAAAGGTGAGTGCTGGAGGTGGGCTGACAGCCGCGTCTGTCGCTGAGTGTGGCACTCCTAGGATGGCATGAGCAGGAGGGGGCTCTGGTTTGTGAGTTTCCGTTTTTGTTTCTGGAGAAAGGTCTCGCTGTGGCTTGGGCTGGTGCAAACTCCCAGGGGTCCTCCTGACTCAGTTCCTGAGTGGTGGGATTATAGGTGGATGCTGTCACATCTGGTGGCTCTGTGGCTTTTGTTGGTGTCATCGTCGTTTGAGTGTTTATGTACGCTGTTTACTGCTGCACACACACCCGTGCAGTCAGCCACCCTCCTGAGAGCGTGAGTGCAGGTAAGGAAGGGGAGTCTTCATCTTTACCCAGAGTCCCATGAGCAGAGAGCAGAAGACACTGATCTCGAGCAGCCCTACACTTGCAGAGGCCCTCAGTGGTCGTGCCGCACCTGAGACCCGCACAGCACTTGCTGGGGTTCCCCGCAGGCTGTTAAGAGGCCCCTGCAGGCACTGGACTGCTCTATCTATATGAGGACTGTGGACATCTCTTAGCAAAACCAGGTTCCCATTCATCGTTGATGCTTAGCAGTGCCTATGGGCATCGTGCGCACAGCGCACCCCACCTGCCAGGTCTCCTCCCATCCTCAGGACACCCCAGATTGCTCTCTGTTGCAGAGAGGAAGAAGCAGAGGCTCCTGTCCAGAGCACAGCTCCCCAGAACTCTTCTGGCTCCTGTGGTGCGCTTAGCTCACTGGCTCTTCTCTTCTGGTTTGTTTCCTTTCTGTGCTCGCTGGCTGTGCAGTTTGGGTTGCCTTTTGTCTGCAGGCTGCTTCTGCTCCCCCCCTCCCCCAGCAGATGAGCCACATCCCCACCGACAGGCGACAGGCGAGCAGCTGCGGGGCAGAGCAGAGCAGGGCCGAGCGAGCAGGAGAGGGGCGCAGCCAGCAGAAGCCCAGAGCCTGCTTCCTGGGAGGGCTGGGCGGCACTGGGCATCCTGCAGTGCTGGTCTCTGGTTCTCCTGTACACAGCCAGGGGCTCATCTCTTACAGAGACCGGAGGCCCCTCACGTTAGGGGTCTTCCTCACATTCCTGTTCTTCTTTTAAAAGGTGTAAGAGTCACTGTCTCCCACTCTTAGAGAAAATCATTGCAGTGATTAGAGAGCCGAGAAAATAAATGGTATTTTAGAAAGAGGAGCTCTTGTCCAAAATTTTGATTCACACGATCCACCTCCAGGTGGGAATATTTCCTGAGCAGGCAGTGACCCTCTGCCCTCTGTCCCTGCTGCAGAATGGGTTAGCACAGCACTGTGTCCTAGGCCACCAAAGTCTTGACCCCTGCAAGTGAACAAATCCACACAGTACATGAAGCATTAGCAATCATTTACCAGCTGGCTTGACTGTTGGTGCATTTTTGGCATTGCCTGTAAAGCGAAGTGTTATTTAAAAAAAAAAAAAAAAGTGGGAGAGACCAGTCCCTAAATTTTAGTTCACCAGAGTCCTAAATTAATGCCTGATGTGTGTCAGCGTGGCTGGAAATTCCTACTGGGGGAATTTTCTCTTTCTTTCTTTTGTTAATTAAAAAATTAAAAAAAAATACAGAAGAGAACAGAGGGTCAATAGCAAATTCCCCCCAGTCACTCACAAACCTCTCTTAGCATTTATCATTTCAAGGGTTTTCTGCTCTGCCAAGCTGCTGCCCCTTTTGTAGGGCAGGTGGGCAGCGCCAGCTCTGAAAATAAATCAGATAACACCTGAAGCTGATGCGTAATAAACAGGGCCAAATTAACAGCCATGTTTCCAAGCCTGAGACTTTCAAGAACAGCCTTTCATGGGAAGGAAACCCAGGAACTCCTTGGTGAATTGGGCTTAACTGCAATTTGAAGGCTGTCAGGAATATTTACTGAGTCTCTGGGCTTCTGGAAAAATTCCCTAATTTACTGAAGGAGTTCGATCATGCAGAAAGCCCTGGGGGAGCTGTTGGTTCGGCCCTAGCAGCCCCTGAACGCTGGGCCGGAGTGTTTGGGCTGGAGCGCTTTCAAGCCCTGCCGGGCGTCCAGCGCAGTGGCACCGGGCCAGGCCCTGTGTGATGCCGCTTCAGGAACGGCCAATGGAAACTATTCCTCAGGTCTGAGTCCAGAGTTGGGCCAGCCACAGCCCGGCTGCTAACTGGAAATTTTGTTAGTCCATTTATCAGCGGCCTCTCATTTTCTGCCGCATTAACGGGAATGAGGTTCGTAAGAGCCTGGTAACCCGAGCTGCTGTGCTCGCTGTGCTCAGGAGTGGAATGCGGAATGTGCCCGAGGAGCTGCGGGAGTTTGCAAAGAAAATACTTTTGCCTTTTGGTTCAAAGTCACTGCTGCCCTTGAAGCAAAGCCCTTTTCTGTGCACCTGTGGGTGGAATTGCCCTGTATTTTGACTAACTGGGGGTCCAGGGACTCATATAAAGTGTAAGGAAATGCCACCTTCCTTAATAAAAATAAAACACGGGCCCTCAGAGGCTGTCCGGGACGGAAGGAGGCTTCCCAGAGGAAAAGGCGGCTGGATGCCGGGGCACTGTTTCCGAGATTTTCCTCCTCAGTGGGTCGCTGGCTGGTTAGGGCTGCCCCTGCACCCCCAAGTCGTGTCTTCTCTGTGAATGCCCAGCCTTCCATTGCCCGAGGAGCAGACAGAGTGTCCGCACCAGCAGCTCTAACCCGGTCAGGGAGGGCCCCAGTTTCATGGTAGAGGGGGCTGGGCGCGCACGAAGGTTGCAGTATCTGGACCCTGCTCCTCAGGGTTCCCTCGAGCCCCAACCATGCTGCCTTAGAGAAATGGCAGCCAAGCTGGTGTGGCTTGCAGAGCCTGGTGGGGAGGGGACTCTATCAGAGCCCAAGGCCCACAGCGTAACTGACCCCCAGCCATGCCATTGACATGGGGATGTGGGTACACTTGGGTTCAGCCAGGGTGGCCCGCTTCAGGAGGTGGCACTATACCTGAAAGCTACCTGACCAAATGCTGGAACCATCACCCAGCTTCTTTGAGACTCAGTTTCCCCAAATCTGAAGTGAAGACCTTTACACTAGATAATTTCCTGTGAGTCCTAGTAAGATTATTTTACCTTCTGGAAGGCTGTCGCGATGTTACATTTCTGTCTTCCCGTTAGCAGGAACAGGGCCGTGGTTTAATCTCAGCATCTGAGAGCTCCGGTCACTTACTCAGTTAGCTCATTGTGGCTGAATCTTCTGCACAGCTCTCCTGCCAAGTGGCCAGTGTGGATATCGTGTCTGGAAGAGACCCCCTGCCTCCCCTGAGGGGCTTTCTTCCCATAGACAGATGGAGATGCCTGAAGTTTCCTGTTGCGTTGAAAGCATCTCTGACATAGTTTTGTAGATTATACAGATCACGACTTAACTCCTTTCTTTCCTCCTCTTCCACAGTGTGACCCACCTCTAGAAGTGACAGACCTGTTTGTTGACATACAAGATGGCAAAATCCTAATGGCTTTGTTAGAAGTCTTGTCTGGGCGAAATCTGGTACGTACCTCACAGGGGGATTAGGAAGAAACAAAATGCAAAGAAAATCACTGCTGAATGAGTCTTTTTTTTTTTTTCACAGCTGATTAATAGGACAGTTTTGATAGTCAATGCACTGTACATTGTTATCTTCTTAGTGCTTGTCCATAGTACAAGAAGCAGACAGGATATCCTGTCCAAACACTGTTAGTACACCTCTTTCTTCTCACTGAATTAAGTGAAAGTAGCTGTAAATTTATCCTATTTTGTATATATAAATACAAAATGATCTTTCCTTTGTATC